TGATTCTCCTTATGACTTGTGTCTCAAATAGGAAATAATATCCTTATGTTATAATGTTAGAATACAGACGCAGCAAAGTGGCCTCAAAAATAAAACTCTCCACTGATTTATTTACCAAGTATTTTCAGCTATTTTGCCTTTTAGGGTGGTGTCTGAGACTTATATATATATACACACACACATACAGTTCATGGATCTGTGATGTGTGTAATAAGTCATCATAGATGCCAAGTGTACAAACTTAATCATACTTTTCTCAAAGGTGCTATACAAAATACCGTTACTATTCGATCCAAAAATGTATAGGAGAAATATAAATTGCCATAAAAACAAAACATATTCTTTTCAGAATATACCAAACACAGGTTTTCATCATTAACCCATCATCGTAAGAAGAGTATTCCACCAATGTAGCGTTGCGCTCCTATAAAATTATTGAATTCACCGTGGAAAGTATAAAAGTAGATTTTAATTCTTCTTCCTTGTCAAAACATGTCGCCTACCCAGAATGCGTTTCAATTTGGTCAGATTCAGGTGTGTTATGCTAGTCTTCAGTCCCTGAAACAACTGGCAACACTATACCCAGAATTTAGTTTATAAAACTGGTGCAGTTAACTCTCTTGGGGTTAAAATGCCCCATTTACAAATCCAGAATGCCTCTCTCTCTTAAGGACCGATTTTATTTTCTTTCTATCCAGGTAAAGTGCCTTCATCTGCTGCAGCAGCCGCAGCATCACGAGAAGCCGTCTCTGCCCTGAAAGACTCTTTACAACCTGCCATCACAGCAGCCCTCAACCTTGTTTCCACTGCAGCTGCTGGTCAGACAAGTGCCACCACAGCTACCAGCGGATCCACCAGTGCCCCCTCTCCTGCCTCCACCACGGTCTCCACAACATCCCCAGTACCTGCAGCTGTAAAGAAACAGCGCCCCCTGCTGCCAAAAGAGACAGCTCAGGCTGTACAGCGGGCAGTGGTCTGGAATCCAACCAAATTCCAGACGTCCTCTCAAAAGTGGCATATGCAGAAAGTGCAGAGGCAGCAGCAGCATGGGGAGCAGTCGCCAGTGCAGACACAGGCCCAGAATCAGGGGCAAACACGCAGCCCACTGCAACTGCAGTCACAACAGCAGAACAACTCCTCAAGTACCCGCTATCAGACCAGACAAGCAGTCAAGGGTATATACGCCAGCGTTATAATAAATATATATACACACAGTAAACTAGATAAAATGTGTATTAAAAGTTGTTTAATTTCCCCTTTTTTTTCACATTCATTCCCTGCAGTGCAACAAAAAGACCCGCCACAGAATACTTCATCAACAGCTGCCCAGGTCTCATCTGGTAGCTCCTCTTCTTTCACGTCAGGAGACTTGCAGATCCCAACAGTCTCAGCAGACGTGGCTGCAGATATAGCCAAGTATACAAACAAAGTAAGTGAGAATCCTCTGCCCTGTCATTAAGTGTGTGAAGTGAGAAAAGGACTGCAGTAGAAGGGCCAGTTCATATAAATTGAATTACTGCTCTGTTCTAGGGCTGGGCAATATGGCCTAAAAATAAAAGCTCAGTTTTTGTTAACACCCCTTTTTTACAAACAACAAATTAAAGCAGACACCATATTTTTGGCATTGCTAAACGTCACCCCATTGTAATATCTTATCGCTGGATATTATGGGGAAATGATTGTGCGTGGATTGCGGCTTGTTTTACAGAGCAGTTAAAACCTGTATTTTAACATCCCTAGTTTAAATGTCAATTTTTATGACATATTTTGCATTGTTTTTAAATTCAAATGAATTAATTTAATCGATTTCAGTGCCCCACTTCCTTTTTTACAGGATGAAAGTAGTTCAAACTGTGCACTAATATCACGTTTTTGCCAAAACTTTGCAGATTATGGACACAATAAAAGGGACAATGACTGAAATCTACAATGACCTTTCCAAAAGCACTTCAGGAAACACAATTGCGGAGGTAAATTTTGGCATACAGACTGATACTTATTAATGTTTCATAGTAATACATGGCAAGTTTTAACCTCTTTGTTTTTTTTTTTGCCATAGATTCGACGGTTAAGGATAGAGATTGAGAAACTCCAGTGGCTGCATCAACAAGAGTTGTCAGAGATGAAGCACAATCTTGGTAAGTTTCCTGCTTCCAGAAACGTCCCCACACCACGTCCGACTACCTCTACCGAACCAGTTTTTATGAATATTTTGTAAATGCAGGTGTTCTTTTTCACGCATGGTATGAGTTTCAAGTCATTTTTATTTTTTCACACGTAAATGCAGAACTGACAATGGCAGAGATGAGGCAGAGTCTGGAGCAGGAACGAGAACGGTTGGTGGCTGAGGTGAAAAAGCAGACGGAGTCAGAAAAGCAGCAGGCAGTGGACGAGACCAAAAAAAAACAGTGGTGCGCTAACTGCAGGAAGGAGGCCATCTTCTACTGCTGCTGGAATACAAGTTACTGTGATTACCCCTGCCAGCAAGCTCACTGGCCAGAACACATGAAGTCCTGCACACAGTCAGGTAACACATACACACTAATGGCACACTAGTCTGTCCAATATAAAGTAACGAACATCTGTTGTTGATTTCTGTCTGGTGCTGTGATCCACAAAACTGTCACACTGACTTAATGTAGTCCACCAAAGCTAATCAGATAGGAAAGCAGACAAAAACATCATGGTTAGGTATTTTATTATATGTGATTTGAAACTAATTTATAGGCAGAAAGGAAGGTAGTTAATGGGCACTTTTGTTTGTTTTTCTCAGAGCTGTCTTTAGGTTGTGTTTTCTTATTGTGAATGCTTCACCAGTTCAGTGTCTTATTGCTACTGTTTTCTGTTGTGGATGAAACACCCAGTATTTACTCCCAAAGTACTGTGACCCAAAAATCTAAAATGTTATTTGACATGTTGAAATAATTATAAGGAAATCTGTGCTGCTACAGATCAGACTACTGTGTACTGTAGAGGAATACATTATCTGCTGTTGGATGCTTCTCGGGACATTAACCAGATTTATATCAATAAAAGTCATCAGACTCTAGTGAGTTTTTTTTTATTTTTACGATTTCTATCTATAGATCTATTTTTAGATGAAATGATCTCTATCCACTCTCGCTTTGGTCTGATGTGAATGAGTTTCACATCATACCTGATTTTTTTATTTTTTTTTGCTTTGATTTATTGCTTTGAGATAAAAGAGACTGCATTCATTTTTTTTACATCCAAACTAAGGCAGCTCCTTCTCAACACTTACTGTATTTATGTTACAGTATTTAGCAATTCATGTTACATTTATAATGAACATGACACCACCCCAAACAGTCTGTCATCCCTGTCATTCCTCCTATAAACTCATCCCCACGGTCCCCTAAAAGACGTAATGTAGCCAACCAAGTGATTAATCATACTAAACCTGTGGGGTTGGAGGCAGACTCAGAAATATATACAGTGTCCATGTTCTCATTTTATATTTTGCTTTTCCTTCCAGCCACAGCGTCACAGCAGGAGCCAGAAGCAGAGCCCAATTCAGACCCTTCAGTCAAATCATCAGGCCACTCTCCTGCACCACAGACCCTCTCCTCAGCAGCAGGGTCCATATCAGACAAAAGCAACTCTCCCACATATATGGACAAGAGCAAGGACAGTGCTGGCGTTACTGTGACCTAACTGCTGCACAATGGATACTCTTACACATTTTGCAAGGCTGCGGAGATTGTCGCGTCAAACTTAAAGCTTGAAGGCCTGCACCCCTGCGACAAATCACTTTGATTTTTTCCATTCCCGTTTGTACATCTGCTTGGTGGACATTTTTCTTTGGTTCATCTCTCATTCAGTTTCCACAGATCTGTGTTCAGGTGGATTCACCATGTGAAAGTAGTCTGTCTTGATAAATAAAATGTGAGTCTGGATGTTTTCATACTGTAGTTTTTGTTATTGCTCTGTTACCACTTTGTTTCAAGTCTGAGCAAGATTGTATCAACCCCCTGAACATTTGCTACATTAACACTTTCAATGCTGCTCTTAAGTACTTCATGGTTGTTTTTAATTTGTTGATTGCTCTCCATATAATGAGAGAAAAAAAATAAAGTAAACAGCCATCAACAGTTGATACTCATTTATCATTGTGCCATCAGTGGTATTTTGAGTTATGCAAGTTTCATCTATATGTTTTACACCACGTCGCTTCACGTCATCTGATGTATTTTGAGTAATGCAACTTTAAACATGTTTTCAACTATGTCCTCTTCATGCCAGCGGTGGCATTTTTTTGGCTCATACCAGTTTTGTATTGTAGTTCCACATTGTACAGACCTACATTTAAAAAAAAAAATATCTGTGATTTATTAAAAAGAACTAAAAAATTTAAACTGTACAAAGTTTTTGTAAGAAATACCTGAACAATATTTATAGTGTTATATGTTTTTATAGTATGTTTAATGAAATTACATTTCTATGTGTCTAAACAAAGTTATTTGAAAATAAATTACTTCATATGAATGTCAGCTCTGAGCAAAAGTCTCTGTTAAAACCAGTTATCCAAAGCTGATGTAAATCCTGATCAGACTGTGTCTAAGAATTGGGTAGGCATAAATAGAAACTGCATTTTGGCTGGATATTATTTCCTGTGAGCATGTCTGTTTTGAGCTTGTGTCTCGTTCGTGTTTACATATTGTACATACAATAAATGGACTCGTGAAGAAAAAATAATAAAACAAAAAAATGCTCTGATCAACATGGCACAGTGATTTCATTTATAGTGTCACTTCACCAAATCCCCATAAACCGAGGAGCCACAGCAGATGGGCCGGAAGCCACGCTCTCAGCCTGTGTGAGCAAATCTCGCGAGATTTCATCTCAGCAAGGCAGAGAAAATGGAAGGCTGCGCTAGCTAGCTAACTGAGCGACTCTCTTTTGTAACTGGAAACTAACTCATTTGTACGCAAGGTATGGTTTATGTTTTCCTCGCGGTGTTGGTGTACACGCATGCTACTTTTACTTCTTGTGTCGTTGCTGCTGGGGGAGATTAACGTCAGCTGCGTTGCCCTTGTTACCGGGCAGTGTAGCAGCTAGCGGTTAGCTACATTAGCCGCGGAGAACAATGTCTGTCGTAACGCTTGAAAAACAAAAACCTCCTCTTCTTCTTCCTTTTGTGGGGGTGGACTCTTGAGCGTTTGCGGCTTTATAAAGCAGATACGTTTCGTTTCTAACCCTAACACCCAAATTAGGTCTAGTAGTGAAACTAAATAAGGGGTGTCGTTTCGTCTGTAGTGTGCTAACGAGGGTTCAGAGTACAGGGACATTGTGGACTGCCCACCTTTACATCTCTCCCGTGGACAAATCTTTGCATAAACCGTCTGCATCAGGCCGACTTTGCCATGTGAGTGCCAGACAACGTGTATATCTACTCTGTAGGCGTTAACACAAATAGCCAACTAACGTGAGATAATGTCAACACTGAGTAGATTTAGTAAATAACAATAAAAAATGCTGCCAATGGTGTAATCAAGTGATCCCTAATGTCATTATAATGCCCACAGCTGAAAGATAAACCCACTGGTACACTAATATAAACTGTGGACTGGTAGCTTTACACTCACTCTCTAAGTAAGTTATTAAAAGAGGAATTTAATCTTCTTTTTTCACCTGTTTTAGGCCCAGTGGTAGTATTGATATTAATTTAATGAAACATAATCGCTTCAGCTTTCTCATCTTGATCTGTAAGATGTGGTAAAGTAAAACTCTAAGTTGACTTGACTGTGTCGGGGTCAGGGCTTATAGATATAAATATACACTCAGTTGTTCTGTCAGTGCAGTTTAATACAACAGATTTGGATTAAATCCTGCTGTCGTGAAGGTTTTAATGTTCAGTTTTTGTTTTAGCTGTTTGCAGTGCAGTTGAATTACTAGAAACACATCTCAGTACATTACAGTCCAACGGTAACACACTTCAGTCCAACAGTAGTTGAATCAACACCTCATGAAGGTATGAAGTATCATCAGCTGAGGTGTCTGACTGAATTAGTTTTAGGACGGTGGCTCTAATTCACTGACGACTGAGTGCTTTTGTGGATGTATTAGAGGTTGAGTTAAACTGTGAAAGTGTCTATTTGGGAAGCATTATTGACTCGTAATCTAATGTGGGTGATTTGGTGCATTTATCCAGGTGCAAAGACACACAAGTGGAATGACACTCTGCACATCATGAAAATTGGGCTTTGGCAGCCATCTGCTAATTGATTGTAAAGGTACCATTTTTCTGCATTTAGCCCTCATCCAACTTGCCCAAGTGTACACATTCCTTTCAGCTTCTGAACTAACAAATTACATCTTCTGTGTTTTGACAGCGTTGTGACCTGTGAATGTCAGTATGGACCCAATGGATAATAACAGCACTACAGATGATATTTCAGGTAAAGCAGATCCTTTAGGCTGTGAGTTGATTAAATGAGGTTGTTGCTATAAAAAGATCACAAAAGAGCTTTTGGTTTGGCTTTTTAAATCCTGTTTTCTTTCCATAGAGGAACAGCAGGACCAGGCAGAAGGGGCAGAGTCGACTGTTAGGCCCTCCCTGTCTCAGGTGAAAAAGTCCTGGGGCTTCAGACGGACAACAATCGCTAAAAGGGAGTTTTTGGATGAAGTTGGAGACCTAACTCACAGTCCTCCAATTGTACGCAGAGGCAGAAGTCGTCGAACCAACCAGACACCCCAGGCCACTCAAGAAACCCACACCACCCAGAAAGCTACTCGTCCAACTAAGAGTGTTATAGATGAGCTTGAGTGGTCTGCCCCATCCTCACCTGCATCAGAGGAGAGCAAGCCAGCCTCAGAAGCTTCTGCGGGAGGGAGCCTTGACCCCAGCTTATGGCAAGATTTTGGGTCTGCCTTCCACACTGCCTTCTCACTACTCGGCGGCAATGAGGGCCTGTCAATGGAAATGTCAGATACACTGGCAGTCCCGGACATTTTGGAAGCCACCGATGCCATCAAGTCCCCTCCTCCGCAGGCTATAGATGAAACTGAGGTCCTTGATAATTTGGAATCTGCTGATGACATGGAGACTGTTGCTCCGGACAATGTGGCAGGAGGGGAAATCGATGATGTGGTGTTGATCTCTAGTCATGAAGAGGACAGTGATGAAATGACTCTGATACACATTAAGGAGCATCTGGTATCTAAAGGCAGGCAGGGAGACACAAGAGGTAGAGGGGGAAAAGGGGGAAGAGGAAAGGCCAGAGGAAGGGGGAGAGGCAGAGGAAGAGGTCGGGGAAAAGGTAGAGGAAGGGGCAGAGGGAGGGGCAGGGCCGTGGAACTTCAGTCAATCATTGCAGACGATGAGGTAATGCTTGATAATCCAGCTGAACAGCAGCTGCAGCAGTTGCGAGACGAGGAAAAAGTAAACAGTCCACACAGCCCTGCTGAAATAGAAATATCGCCTGCTCACTCTGATATCAGTCTGAGTCCTGCTCAGCGATCAAGTTCAGACTGCATAATCATAGACTCTGATTTAGACCAGATTACTGATGCAACTCCTGGCCAGTATGATGATGCACCAGAGGAGGAGGAGGTGGAGGAGAAGAAAGACGAAGTCATGAATGTAAGCGAGTATTCAGGCATATCAGGCTCTGAGGGTTATGACTCCAATGCTCTATACTGCATCTGTCGACAGAAACACAATAAAAGGTATATGCTCATTTCTGGTAACAAGATCTCTTGGGCTTTTGTGCACCTCAACCATCTGTCGGTTTCACTTCCTGACAACTGTTGTGTGTTCACTGCTTCTAGGTTCATGATCTGCTGTGACAGTTGCCAGGAGTGGTTCCATGGCAACTGTGTTGGTATCAGCAAGACAGAGGGCCATGAGATGGAGAGGAGAGGGCAAGAGTATATCTGCCCCACTTGCACTACAAAGAAGCAGAGCCAACTCCAACCTGAGCCTCACTCTCAGCCAGAGCCTGAGCTTAGCTTTCCCGAATGCTTGACACTAAGTTCTTCTGGTGAAGAAGGGGAGGGGCACGAGAAGCAGCAAGCCCACAAGGTTAGAATTACATTTGGATTGCCAGTGATCTCCACATGACTCACTGCCCTGAGTCACAACAAAATATAAATAGCTTTTCAACTTGTTTGCCCCAGCAGTCATTCCCGTGTGACAGTAAATATGTGATGGATCGTTTTACATTTGCATCATTAGTCATTGGCTGATTTGCATGAAGACTGGTTTTGAGCTCTAAGATGAGACTCTGGTTTCAGGAGACTGCTGCTGCTGCTGTGGTGGTGGAGGAGGAAGAGGAGGAAGAGGAGGAGACGGCTCCTGTGATGAAGCCAGAGCCTGAACCTGAAGCTGAGATGGAGACGGACAGCTCTCTTCCTCTGTGCATTGGGCCCGGATGCTCCAAACAAGCCCTACCGGACTCTGTTTACTGTGGCACTGACTGCATCCTTCAGCACGCTGCCGTCACTATGAAGACTCTTTCTGGCCCCAAGGTGCCCAAGGCCAGAGGCCGAGCACAGAGAAAAGCTGCTACTGCCAGACCAACTGCAAAGGTAAGTGATTTCAACACGGAGAAAAATAAATTAAGATAGACATTTGAAATGTATACGTAATGTATTTTCTTGCTGCTTTTCTACATTTTGATTCTGATTTAATGGGAAACTACAGTGTAAAAATCAGCTTTATACTATAAAGTATCTTTATTTTTGACAAATATTTTCATCACAGGGTCTGAGGTCGGGTAGGATGTCTAAGAGATTAGCAGGAAAAGCTGAGGAGGAAGGTGAAGAGGAGGAGATCGAGGAGGATGATGGAGGGCAGAAGGAGGCTGCATCTCCCTTAGCCTGCGACCCCAGTCTCAAAGAAGTTCAGGCCACTTCCATACCATCATCTAAGTTTTACACAGCGTGTATGTATCATTCGCTACTCATACACATTCAGATCATACAGCAGTTTACACACCATGCACAAAGGGCCTCTTTCGGCATTACAGATTTTCTCTCCTCTTTGAATAATGGCGCTACGTGACACAATCATACCCACAGCCACACGCGACACATACACACACTTTCTCTGGGATTACTCATAAGTAGCAGGGGTCAGCAGTGGGTAAGTATGTTCACTTTTATAGTTTTTGTTGATTCGAAATGCCCAAAATGTCCTGAAGCACTCTCGACTAGTCAGGATTCCAGTACTCAAGTAGACACACTCCTTTAAACCAGTCTCCTACCTGGTAACTGCTATCTGCAACACACAGCAACTGTCTGCTGTGGAGTAGTGCTGGGGAGTCGGGGTGGTTTACCAGTTTTTGTTTTTTTTTACCATCAGTGTACTGAAACACTGCTCCAATGTTCAGTTTGTCTGACCTTGCAAAGGTCTCTTGCAAACTCAAAGGTTCTCACTGAAGAATACACACGTGTGCTACATGACAAAACTGAAAGATGATCACAGAAGTTTTAGTTGGTGAAAAGGAAGGCGGAACACAAACGCATTTGTCTCTTATTCTGGAAACATTCTTCGTACTGTGAAATAAGCTGCTGGCCTTTTGAGAGTATCAACAATACGGAATACGGTCTGGTGTTTCATGTTTGGGAGTGTTTCCCTCTCAACATAACCCACAGTGCACACACAGCATACAGTATGTTTTCAAATGTTCAGCTCAGCGCCTCACATATACACAACATTGTTCATTATTTGAAATATAGAACCACATCATTCTATCTTTTTTTTTAATATATATTCTCTAATCAGTTTAAAAACGATCATCGCAGATGTGTCCTCATTTGAAGATGAATGATCCTTTTTTTGTCAAACTGCAAAACTTTGATTATATTTTAGTTGAGGGATTTTTTTAATGTAATTAGGTTAAAAACTAAAGTGTCCACATTCAAGCCAAAGTGCTGGAAAGATGATTATACATAGGAAAGCTTTGCACACTAGTATCTGCACACTCCATTTTCTTATTTACTAAGTACTACACACACTATGATCTGCACACTTTGTTTTGTTACAGACGACATACTGCAAGCCCAAAGGAGGTCTGTGCTCAAAAGTTAGTATTTATTAAAATGGAGTGCACATCTCTTAGTGAAGCTGTTAAATAGCAGCGGATGTCACAGGGTCCCTTTTTTTTGTATTAAAATTTTTTGTCAGAACTCAGCAAACATCCTCACATCAAAACTTTCACATCTCCTCAATACCACTGAATATATAGGTTTTGTGTAGCCTGCTTAATGATGTCATAGTTCCACAGTGTTGGCAAAGCACAACACCTCTTCAACCTGATGGTTTCTCTCACAGTGGTTCATCTTTTCAAACAAGGACCCCAACGTTCAAGCACCAGTGGTTTCTCAGCGGTTTCTTCCTACACACAGCAAAGTCATTAGTAGTCTTGTGCCTCTTATCAGGCAACATGTCTTTATTATTATTCCTTTTTTTTTTTTTGCAGTTTCATAAAAGTAAAGTGAATTTATTGCTGCACTTAATCCATTCAATGCACCTCATAACATACTTACAGCATAACATTTTACAACTTTCCTCATCCCTGTGTCATGCTCAAACAACTTTCCATGTACCTGAGGGAAAACTTTTACATCAAGTCTCTCGATGCTGCATCTTATGTTGCCTTATCAATCAACACTCAAACACACCCTTGGACCAGTTGTTGCACAGACACGCCAATAATGGCTTGGTTAGGCTTCTGAATGAGTAGGGAGTGGGCAGCTGATATGGAGGAGGAGGGGTTGACTTCTTGCTGCTGCAGAGATGCAGAGGGGACTGGAGGACTCTTCAGTGCAGATGCTAGACCACCTGGAGTTCACTGAACAATGAAGGGGAGATTTGTTGTCGCATTTCCATGAAGATGATGAAGTGTCAGCTGGCCACCATCAGAAAAATGTTCCATTCCTCAGAGAAAGACTCCATGCTGCTGGAACTGAAGAAAGCTTACAGTTCACCACACATTCATACAAACTCTAGGGATGAGGGACAGGCATCTTTTTAGTAACTGAGTGGGTTTTGTGTTTAAATAACCCCTACTTGTCAACCCATACCACTTTTTGTTTTTGCTGACACTCTCATATGCACCCATTCCTCTATATATTTACAGAAACACACAGACCGCAGCAAACATCTGTTTTCATTGGAGTGCTGATCCGGGGTCAGCTTCTGTGCCCTTTTTTGCAACTTTTATAACTAGTGTGGAATTTCAGATTTCAGCAATTTCACCTTACATTCAAGTACACTTTACATACAAAAGTATACTATATAATGGTACATACATACAGTTGGCCTGCTTTTGTCTTATGGCTTGTCATTTATCAGCAGAGACAGATACCAAAATGTAATGGAAAAAATATTTGTTCAGGGAACCGAAATCGTCAGTATGCTGTAGCACACAAATATCTGCATTGGTAATGCGTTTTAAGTTTAAAGGCTTTAACAGCAGTAGTCCCATTTCTAAATCTCTCATTTTCTCTGAAAGCATAAAATTTAAACTTTTAAAAACTGCCATGTTTTATAAAACCCCTTGCAAATTTTGTAGAAGGTTTTAAAACTAAGTATAAGTCCACTTCTAGGAGGTAAATTATGAAGAACCCCACACACTTAAGTGTTTTAAAAACTGTATGTCTTATGCTTTGTGAAGCTGGTCCTTTATTCACAACTTAAATAATTTGAAAAGGGTTCCATTGATTACCTTTAATCAGCTAAGTATTATTAATACTGTTTCTCTGACATCAGTAAAAAAAAAAAGCTCACAGGGCAAATTGCCCTGGAAATCTTTCTGCCACTACACCAATACTATGTGGGTGAATGAAATGTGTTTGAGGTGCTCAAAGAATTTGACATTCAAATTACAGAATGTATTTTCAGTGTACATGTTACTTTGGGAAATTCACATACCTCGCTGTAAATGGTTTTCTTTGGAAGTTAATTCTAATCAGTAAGTAGTTCCAGTGAAATAAATTATTAGGTGGTGCAATTTGGCACTTCTGTATTGGGGTGGTGGCAGAAGATCAAAACCATGCCACATAAAAATATGTGTGCCTTGAGGATCAGTTAGGCTAAGTGAAAAAATATTTATTTATCTAATTTTGGTAAGCTTACCCTTTAAATTTTGTAAACTCCAATGTCTTTGCCTACATTGTCTGCATTTTGAAAAACCGAAGTAGGTTGAAGAGTGAGAGGGAAGACCATCTCAGTTGGACTGTAGTTTAGTTGATCAAAGTATCAAGATGTTAGGAACTTTGAGAAGTCTTAATCTATACTGACAGCACAACAACACTACACTGAAATAGATAAATATAAGATCAATAACAGGAGCATACATTTTCTTATACAATAACTGCATTTAATAGTTGCCCAGCGGTCCGTCAGAACCACTGGTGATCACCTTTTGCAGCTACCTCTGTTTGATGCCTCTTGGAGCCATTGAGCCTCTAAATGTGCGGCTGTGAGGTGCTGCCACATGTCTGGGGAAGGTCCTGACTAAGCTGCTTGCTCTCGTCAGGCTGCAGAGGTCACGTCTCCAGCTGTTGGGTTGCAGGGCGTCTCACAGGTTCACTGTGGGGTTGAGGTCATGAGATGATACAGGCTGAGACAGCATCTGCTAACCAGCAGGTCTTCAGGGCGTTATCCCAATGAACGGTGGTGTCGCAGCACGTGACTTGCTGCACAATTTCATCTCTGCATAACATGACATCATGGAACTCTGGAAACTAAGTGTGGCCTTCATTAGAAGTTACATTTTTGGCTTTTTGAAGATGACAGGAGCGGATATTGCTTCTGCTGGCCCTCTAAAGTACTCCCAGTGATCCTCAGTGAGAATGAAAGTTTTGGTGCCTCACTGCATTGCTTGTCGACGCGTAAGACAAATTGACAACTTTCTGTCAAAATTATCTTCATAGCGATACTTCACACAATTTTCCAAACAGTATATGTAGTATAATACAATATTTCCACTTCACCTGCAATAACAAATGTCCTTATTTTTAAATGTTTAATGTGACTTTTGTAACTTGCCACAACATAACCTGAAATAATTTCTTCAACAAAAGAAAGCAAGCATAATCTCAATACATTTACAGTTTGTTTAAAGAAGATGACCTATATGTGATGACTAGTTATGGAGACGGATGGGGTTTGATCAGCACATTGGTTTTTCATTGCTTAAATTAGTGCAGGTTTTCCTGCAACACACAGTATCTGACTTTACTACCAGATAGTTTCAGTCTTTACTCATAAACTAAAACTGTGGGGTGAAGTTGCTTTCAGTGATGAGAAGGCATCAGTTTCCCCCACCTGTGTTTTTTGACTTTCAATATTTGTGGGGGAAGTACATAACTGACTACAGATCACTAAGCAACAAGGAGCATCTTCACCATTCAACAATTACTGTGGATAAGCATCTGTACAACAGGCATTGACTAAATCTTTTTAAGTTTGGTCAGCTTTGGTTGTATAGGATGTTTTAGGATGTACTTTCAGGTGTTCCTGTATGTAAAATATATCAGGAAATCAGAACTCATTGTAGGTCATTGTAATAGTGGACTTATGCCTTTATATTTAAAAGAAAAAAAGAAAGGGAAAAAATTCCATAATCTTAAATAACATACTTTAGTGCTTACTCTGAAATGATATGATCACATATGTGTCACTTTTTTTGTCTTCAGGATCAAAGGAAGATGCTTTGAAAGATTTTTTGATCCAAGTGTTATTTTGTTGAAACACTTGGGTGTGAAATGGTTTTATTTTGGCATGTTTTTATATTATGATGCTTCTAAGAACATGGAACAAGGAAAAGATCACAGCTTACAGAACTATCACAACCCTCTGGTAGAATCGATAATCTGGAACCAATGCCACGGAGAAAGTACAAGTAGATTTTGATCTTAACGGTTATAAGTTAAT